TGTAGACATGCCCCCCCATTTCCTTCTGAACCTGCTACAAGTGAAACAAGGAAAGAACTAATTTTGTTCTATCTTGGACCACTAAAAAGTGGCCTTCCTAAAAGTGATTACTCTTGCAAGGAGACCAGAATAGCTGGCAACCATTACATCTGTTTTTCATGGGTACCCGGGAATTTTCTACCCAAAGTTGTCATCTGACATTTACCGGAACTTGGAAATAGTTTTTAATTTCTGCCCAAACCTGTCTTCAGAGGGAAGCTTCTTTGGAATACATATACATCAGTTTTGTGTTAATCTATGCATGTCCAAGGCAGTCTACAAATGTGATCTCTTCCCCCACCCCCTCCAGCCCCCATAGACTAGGAATCAACATAGTAAACAGAAACTAATGTAGGTTTTGAGAGAAAATTTTCAATAAGGATGTAAGAACAACTGAAATATTGTCTTTTGAAAAATCCCAGCAACACACATGGGAACCATACCCCAAAACCGTTGTGTTAAAGGGTATTCATGGTCCAACAGAAAACTCACAGAAACATGGAGATTCAGAATCACTGCTTCCCCTCCCTCTGTTGGGGGTGAAGTAAATCTCAGTCTGCCAGCAATCGTTTCTGGGTTGGTTCACCTGGTCCTGACGAAACATCTCTTCATTCTGATAGACTATGCTCCCATTATTCTCATTGTTTCTTGCATTTGAGGCACAGACACAGGAGTCAGGAGACGTGGGTTGTGTTCCCAGCCCTACTGCACGTTTGTGCTGTGAGGTCGGGCAAGTCACTTCAGCAATCTGTGCTTCAGGCTCCTCATGCCCCCTCATAACGGGGATGACAGTACTTCTTTATCTCACACAGGGAGGTGGGGAGATGTTGGGCAAACATGCATGATGTTTGTGAAGTGTTTTGAGAATCTGGAATGGAAGGAGCTATTTAAGTGCAAGGTGGTATTATTCAGATAGCTGTGATTGGAAAAATAATGTTGTTCCAGAAATTAGGCAGCAGAAGGCACTGTTGGAGGCAAAATATATAATCTCTGCATCAGGTAATGGGTAAAGGATGATCTTTTATTGCAAGAGAGAGCCAAGATAAAAATGTGCCTTATTACTGTGCAGTTGGACTTATTCAGCTTAAATAGATGTGAAATAAATTACATAAAATCTTGACTTTTTAAAAAAGCTATTTTTCTTGTAATTCATATGCAGAAAGGTCAGGGCTCATATAGCTATGGATTTCATGTGTGCACAGAGTGGTATTTCTTTTTGTTTTGTTTTGTTCAATATGTTCTTGTTTCCCCCGGCAGGCTCTTGTTCTATGTCACTTTTTGGAAACAAATGCTAAACAATACAGCCTGGTTGATAAAAGTGTAATTGAAATTGGAGCGGGAACAGGGCTGGTCTCCATAGTAGCCACTTTACTTGGTAAGTGCTGGCTGTTGCTTTGCTGGGTTTGGAAACTTCATTAAGATGAATATTGATGACTATGGAGCATATAGTAAGTTGTTCAGGTCCTCTAAAATGTTGTTGAAAACCGAGGAAGAAACACTGAATCCTTTGGGGTTTTCAGCCAACTTGGAAGCCAGTTTTGCTTTTATCGCCATAAAATTACTTGCCCTCACTTTAGAATGCCTTGTGGGAGGGTACAGTAGATGTGGCTGCCATCTAGTATTAAACAGAGGACAGAAATTAGGTGCTGTGAGAACTAGGGTTCTTACTAGACCAGGAGGTCAGAGAGATATAGAAGAGGCTGGATTCAGACACAACCTCTCACAAGAGCAGTTTATCTTCTGACTATTAAATAACCCCTTCCTGGTTTCCCAAGTCACTTCTGTTTTCCAATTTGTAACCTGTTCTTTCAGAAACGTATCCTTGAGCTTGCTGTCCCGACATTGTCCATTCTGTCTTCTTTCCTGACAGCCTGTTCTTTACCAACAGTAACTGGAATCACTAACCACCGCAATGTAACCAAGGACACAATTTAGCTTTCAGTGTCTTTTATTACTGTATGAGAAGAAAAGAATCCAGGGGATTCTCAGATCCCAGGCTGACTTTGCAGGGTTGTAGTTAGAAACCCCTCCCCCCATCTTTTGACTTGTATATCAAGCAGATTTGATATAAAGACCCCATAAAGGTGGATTCCCAGGATATCATTTTGATCTTGCAGAGCAGGACCATATTTTAATGATATTTTTGGTGTGAAAACCTAATATACTTTTCTAGTGTAATGGAACGCACAGGAGGGTTTTTACAGGTATATTGTACATGTATATGGGAGAGACCTGGAAAAGCAATTGTTTTTGCAGTAGGTTTTGTGTACAGATTACTTCTTAATTCTTCAAGGGTTAATCCTTGGTTGTTGTTTTTTGTCATAGGTGCACATGTGACTGCCACGGATCTGCCTGAAGTACTAGGAAACCTTCAGTACAATATTCTCAAAAATACCAAAATGAAATGTAAGCATCAGCCCCAGGTTAAAGAACTCTCCTGGGGAGTTGATTTAGAGAAGAACTTTCCCAAGTCTTTGTGTCAGTTTGACTACATCATGGCTGCTGATGTTGTGTACTACCATCCCTTCCTGGAGGAGCTGCTTCTTACCTTCCATCACTTGTGTCAGGACAACACTGTTATTCTCTGGGCCATGAGATTCAGGCTGGACACAAAGAACCAATTTATGGGCAGATTTCAGGAATTGTTTGACCTGGAGGTAATTTCCAATTTCCCCAGTTTAAACATAGCATTGTATAAGGCAATGAGAAGAGGCAAGAAGATGACGTGATTTCCAACTTGAGTATTAGAAAGTGTGTGTGTGTG